ATAACAGAGGATGCCATTCCAGGACCTCGATGTCTGGGCGCAGGTCCCTGATTCACCCCACACCTGCCTCCCTGTGCAGTCCCCTGACATCAGCGGTCACTTCCCGTCTCCAGCCAGGAGAGCATCTACTTCGTGGCTGGGGAAAGAAGGGACTTGACTCTCTGGCTCAGCAGGGGTGGGTCCAGGCCCAAGGACTGCTCACCCATCTTTGTTCTTACACTTTTGAAGGGTTGAAGGAAAACCAAAGGAAGAATGGCATTTGGGGACTCGTGTGTGACAAGAGTTGGGTCTGTGTTTTTGCACGGCTCATGGCTTACTCCTGGGTGCCCAGTGCAGACACCAATTGGGCTGGTGGATGGAGGCGTGTGCCCGTGAAGCCTTACACTCCCTCCCTGTGTGCCCAGACCCCCACCCCAGCCCACAAGGGCCCAGAAAGCAAGCTGCCAGGCCGTCTGCTGCCACCGGGCCTCTACCCAGCTGCGTGGGGCAGATAGATTTCACACACTTGCTTATCTTTCCCAGACTGTTCAAATTCTAGGAGTAACACTGCCTTCTAGCCTCAGAGTCTATGATTCAGCCAAAGCTACAGAATCTCTCTTTATCCTTTGGGGTTTTTACAAGGTTCTCAGAAACCCATCAAGAGCTCCGAGTCCTCCCCACTCAGTGCCTTCCCCAGCAGGCTCCTCGGAATCCCGGGCCCCCACCCTCTGGTGGCCTCAGGTGGCCTTCCTCTCTCTCTCCGAGGTGATGCCAGCAGAGAGGGGCTCAGGGGGCCGTGGATGCTGGCCCGCAGCTGAAGCTGGTGTCTGTTCTCCCCTCCTACCATGGGGCTTATGGGCTGCCTTTCCCTGTGCCTAGAACACCCAGAAGGTGTTTTACTTTCCAGAGGGGGCATGTAGAAGGGAGATGATCCTGCTGCTCCCTTCCCCAGCCCCATCCCCCTCCCCTTTGCAGGCACCTGCAGGTGTTCTGGGCTGGCGGCTGGCCCCGCCCTGGGCCCCCATGGTGGCTTCAGTGTCCTTCAGTGACGGGGCAGGACCACACCCAAGGCAGCTTCAGCTCGTGCACTGACCCTGGTGCACTTGACGGATGTGTCTGCAGCCAGCCTCCTTCCCGGGGGAGTGGGATGATCTGAATTTTTCCAGGAAGAGAGAGGAGAAACATGGCAGTGGGAAATGGGACTATTGTCGAGGAGAGGGCAAAGAACGGCGGATCGGGCGGGAAGGAAGTTTGGCCGTGGTTGTTCTTCTGGCCCAGGTGCCTCACCAGCAGAGATGGGATGGGGTGGTGGGCCAGCGGCCTCCTGCCCATCTGCTCAGGAGACATGGGCCTCCCAGAGCACCTGGCTGGAGGGAGACCTCGGACCTGCCCCAGAATGGGTCCGGGGCCTTCCTCAAAGCAGTGCCAACTCTGCTCTGGCAGAGCTGAAGCCCTTGAGGCAGCCCTCTCCCTCCCCTGCCCTGTTGTGGCCCCTGTTCTTGTCAGGGAGGCTGGAGAGGGATGGCCAGAGAGACGTGGCCAGTGCTGTGACCCCACAAACATCCCTCCCGACAGAAGAGGCAGCATCTCCTGGATCCTGAGCCTCCAGGAGCCAATTTTGTGTGGAGGGGGAGCTTCCCAGGCCTGGCTCCCAGCCCACCCCCACTCGCCTGGGCCACAGGGCAAGTCGTCCAGACTATAAACTGGAGCTGCTCTTGGCAGATCCAAAAGCATGAGGGCAAAAGGCTGGGACCCCCCCACCCCCCGCAAACTGACCCAGGGTCATTAGGGTCTTAGAGACAGGTCCCACGGGCCGCAGGGATCCCCAGTTCCCCTTCCCCTTGGGGTTCTCTAACCTTCATACCTGTGTGTGTGTGTGTGTGTGTGTGTGTGTGTGTGTGTGTGTGAGGCTGTGCATTGAGTGCCCATCCGTGTGTGTACACACATCTCGGTGTATGAGCATATATGTGTGTCTACCTGTGTGAGTGCATATGAGTGTGTTCGTGTGCATGTGGGTGCACACACGTGTACATATGCGCGTGTGCACGTGAGTGTCGTACATGTATGCGTGCACGTATGTATCTGTTCGTGTGTGTGCCTCCCTCACTCCCAAGCGTGAGTAAATTCTGGGAGAGTCAAGCATTCGACTCCCGTGAGTTTCTGGATGGTCCTTGTGTCAAGGCGCCCCTTCCCATCACGGCCACAGGGCGGGACACCAGAAACGGATTTCCCTTGACTGACTGACCCTGCTGGTGACCGGCGTCCTGAGCAGGAGGCAGAGCATCACAGACACCCTGGAGCCCCCCGGCTGGCCCCACCTTCCCTTCACGGCCCAGAGCAGTGTGGCCTGCCGCCATGGGGTGCCGTCGGGCCTTGATGTGGGCTCCGCTGGGTCCGACGCTCGCTGCTCGGTGTTGTTTGTGATGCCCGTTCTCGCGGATGGTCCTCCACATGGGGACCACACACTGCGTTTGATGGGCGTGGACCACAAGACCAGGACCTGTTGGTGCCTGACTCCCGGTGGCCGTCTGTGCAAGGCCCGGAGTTGCTGGCCGTGGGATGTCCATCTGCTCTCCCTGAGCACCCGCGCTGCCAAGTGGTGTTTCCAGGGTGGCTGTGTCCGTTCCAGTTCTCACCTGCACGAGCGCTGGCCGCGCGATACACGGTGCTGCTGGGTGTTTCCCACCTGTTCGGTGCCGGCTGGGTGTTCGGGGATGCGTGCGGGCTATCTCACAGCCGTTTTAATTGGCATCCCTCTGACGATTAATTTGTGCTCCATTTCCTGCCTTGTCGGCCTTTGGGACACTTTTGCTAAGTGTTTGCATTTTTTGCCCATTTTAAAACTTGAATTGTCTGATGCTTGTCTTGCTTGTGTGAGTCCTCCAGGGATTCTGGGCATGAGTCCTGTGTCAGGTGTTGTATTCCAAGCGTCCGCCTCTGCCGTCGCCTTCTCGCTCTGAGTCAAGTGTGCTTGTGTTCACGTGTGGCCCGCACCTTTCCTGTTTCAGAGGAGCCTCTGTCTGCTCCAAGGTCACGATGTCCTCTTGTGTTTTTTCCTAACGTGATTCTGTTTTACCTTGCGTTTCCCAGTTTGCCCTCCCTCAGGAGTCGGGGTTCATGTGTGCTGTGAGGTCAGAGTGAGTGGGGCATCCCGTTGCCCCCACGCCATTTACTGGGGAGATGACCCTTCCCCCTGGGCTCCGTCTGTCCGTGCATTGGTGGCTCTCGGTCGTCACTGCTGAGACTGTCATGCGTCGTGGCGTCTGCCAGGTGGCCCCGTAGGCATGTTCACTGGCCATAGGCTGAGGGGTTCATCTGGGCCCGGGGTTGGGTCTGAGGTTTCCAGTCATTCTCCACATGCTTACTGAGCTCCACACGGAGGCCAGGCCTCACTCGCTCCCCATGTCTGCGTTGCTGACCTTGTTTCCCTGGGGTGGGCCGGGCCCTTCCAGGCCAGGAGGAAAGAGGTGGGACATGTGGCAGATAGTGAGGCCTTGGTTCTCCCAACTGCAGCCTCGGGAGGGAGGAGGCATCTTTCCCAGTCTCTGCTGGCTACTGGGGATAAAACCTCAGGAAAATGGCTTCGCCCAGTCACAGGGCCACGTTCACGCTGGTTTCCGGGACTGGGCAGAGCAGGGATCTGCTTTGGCTGGAGTGGGGCGGTGTCTGCTAACCAGAACAGGGGCTGCCAGGCAGGCGGGAGCAGCAGAGGGGGATCGAGGGGTGTCTGTTGGCTGAACGAGGGTGGTCCTGGGGCACGGGGGACGCAGGGGCCCCAGCAGAGGCGGTGGGTGAAGCAACAGAAGGCTGGACCCAGTTACTTGCAAACCTCTCTGTCCTAGAAGTTGCCCGGGACTGCTCATGGCGGCTTTCTCCATTACTGCCCAAACTGGAAGCGATGAGGGCGCCCCTCAGAAGTGAGCAGACCCGCACACAGGTGCGTCTGCATGAAGGAGTGCTACAGAGCACCAAAAAGAAATGAGCCAGCAAGCCAGCAAGGGAGGGGTGCAGCCTTCCACGCACGGCGCTAAGTGAAAGAAGCCTGTTGGAAAAGGCTCAGCTAGCCACGTTCTGGAGAAGCCAGAACCGCGGGGGCAGTGAGCGTGGGGCAGGACACGTGACTGCGTTTGTCAACACTGACTGATCTGACTGCACGCTGAACATGGACGTGTGCGTCACTGTGACGTCATCTGTGAAGCCAGCACCCAAGCTAGACTCCCGAATGTGAGGGCAACCTTGCTGTGCTCGGAACAGCACCCTGAGGCGGGACGGGGGCCAGCCTTGGTGCCTGGGAAGCGGAGAGGCTGAACCCAGAGGCATGAGGGCCTGTGCCCAGTGCGGCTCTTGTCACGAGCGGCCCGCAGATGCTGGACCAGGTAGCCATGTGGGGGGTGGGCGGCTAGGGCAGCAGCAGGGGAGGGAGCTGGGCTGGGCCCTGTCGAGGCGGGGTGCACAGGTGGCCATGGGCGGGAACGCACAGGCAGCTGTACCAGCACGTGTGTGTAGACTCACAGCTGAGCAAGGGCCACGTCCACACTGGTAAGCTGCTGACGGCCCTGGTGCTGTTAGTGATAGGGACATGCGGCAGGGCTGCATGGGTACTTAGCTCTCGTCTCAGTCTTTCTCTCAGGTTTGTGTTGTTTTTTGCATCTGTGGTCCTCGAGACAGCGGGGTGTGTGGGAGCCAGGCCCCCGGGTGTGAGTGTTTGCCAGTGGCGTGTTGGAGCGCACAGACTCCTGTGATGCCCTGCCTGTGTGCTTTTCCAGATGCTGTGTGAGGAGACGGGCAGGCGCCCGGGCAGCCCGAGCACCTGCGACATTCCGAAGGGCTGTCTCCGGGTCTCTCCGTCTTTCCTCCCCCAGCTACCCCTTGCCGCTCCCTGAGGCAGGTCAGAGCACCATGGCCTCATCAATCGGGTGGGGAGGCCCAGGGAAGAGGTGGCCGTCCTTGCTCTCACCCCCCAGTGTCCATCCCCAAAGCTGTCCATCCAGGCTGTGCTGACCCGCCCCATGGTCCTGCAGGGTGGCTACGACCAGAGCAGGACCAAAGTGCTGCACATGAGCATGAACCCGGCCAGCGCGGCCAAGCAGCGGCTCCGCGAGGACCAGGCCCGGCTGCAGGAGGAGTGTGAGCAGCTGCGGGAGCTCGTGCGCGCCCTGGAGCAAGGCGGCCCTGTCCCCGCTGACCTGGAGGCCGCTGCAAGTCTGCCTTCGTCCAAGGAACTAACAGGTAGGCCCCTTCCCAACTGCGTCCGTGGGCCATCCTGTGGGCAGGGGGCTGCGGGGGGGCCTGGGACAGAGCCCCTCAGGGGCCTCAGGTCCCGGCGGGAAGAGATTCCGGCAGCCGTGGGAGAATAAGTGGCTGAACTCTTCCCAGCCCCTCACACGGATTTGTGCCATTTTTTGGTATATACGTGTCCCATTAATCACGAGTCGATCCAATGCTCTGTGGAAATGGGGACCATCTTTCATGGATCTAAGTACCTTTCATGGAGTCCAGAGCCCTGGTGCAGGGGCCAGGAGCGGGACACATGAGCACGGCCTCACCCGCACTCTGCAGCTCTGCACACCAGGGCGACAGGCCCTGAGCCCATGGCTCGTCACTGCCCATGCGAGCAAGTAACCCTCCTGTTCCCACTGGGTCCTGTGCTGGAGCTGCCCGGCCAGTGCAGAGCAAAGGGGCCCACCAGCCAAGGGGGGGGCATATCTAGGAGCCCCACTTGCCCGGGTCCCTGTCCAGGGGGAGGGCCGGGTGCAGAAGCCAGCCTCTCTGCGGGCTGCCCAGCCTATTCCGCCACAGCTCTGGCGGGGACACTGAGCCATCAGTGAGCTAGGGTGAGGCCCCTGTTCCCCGGGTGTTTCCCGGCTGCGCTCCGGCCCTGCTCCTCCTGCTCAAAGCCCCTCCCGACCTCCTTGGGCAGATCCTCTGTCCCATGAAGGCACAGGGCTCTGGCCACCATCTTGTCCCCCTCAACTCTACCAGCCCTGCCCAGGACTTGTTCTGCGCATGTCTTCTTGCTCGGGGGTCTTGGCTGCAGCCCCCTCTCTGCCCCGTTTGTTTGCCATTGCCATTGGCCCGACCTGCTGTCAGCCTGACTGTGGGAGGTTTGGGGTTTTGTAATTCATTTTCAAGGGAGGTGCAAACCCACAGAGAAGACTGGAGGATGCTGGTGGGTGGCTGAAGGGGGTGGAGCTGAGAGGGGTCCAAGTGGTGCCCCAGAGCCCCCGAGGCTGGAGGTGGTAGCAGGTGGCCCTGGGGGCAGACAGTTAAGGACACTTGCCAGAGGGCATAAAGACAGGCATCGGTCCCCAAGCCTTCCACTCAGCACCCTGCTGTAGACAGTGGCCTTGCCCCCAGCAACAATGAAAAGAGGAAACAGAAAACCAAGGTTATTCTCTTAGAGCCAGAATCCCAAAGAGCAGGCCCCATGCTGGCAGAACCTCCCCGGGAACTCATTAGGGACGGAGGATGTTGGGCTCCGTGTCAGGCCTGCTGGGCCAGACACATCTGCGGCGTGCAGAGGGTCCCTGGATGGAAAGAGCGAAGTGAGCTCAGAGGTGGTGCGTGTGGGTGCCGGGACCCCCGCCCCAATCCACCCCCTTCTCTTCACCCACCACAACACCCTCTGGACGGGCTCCTTTTGCAGCAGCTGACATGGGGCGCCCTGTCAGGCCTGTCCCCTCGCTGTGAGCAGAGTCCCAGGACTGCCGGGCCCTGAGGGAGAGAACAGCACAGGTGAAAAGACAAAACCTCCGTCTTCAGAGAGGAAGGATGTGTTGCTTTACTTTTTTCAAAGAGGAAACACGTGAACTTTCCGAAGTTAAAGACACCAAAATTGAAGTGAAAAGCTAAACAGAAGACTTAGAAAATTGGGGGAGTGTATGTGCACAGAAGAGCAGAAGGTCAGATAGAGGCATGAGGGGCATGGGGTGTCTGCAGCTCCTCTGGTGGCTCCAGGAGAGGGCGGGGGGGCCCAGGGGACTCGTGGCTGGTCAGAGGGAGGCGCCCCATGCTGGGACTTGTCATAGTGAGGCTTCTCAACACGGGGACAAGGGCACCTGTCACCTCCCAGAGAGGGAGAAACAGGCTGCTCCTTTCTGAACTGTGGCTCGAGGAGCAAGAAAGCCACCAGGGGCCAGACTCTGGGTGCCCGAGGGACCAGACCGCAGCCCACAGCCAGCCCCACGCTCAGCCCCACGAGGGAGGAGTTTGCTTCTGTTTTCGCCGTTCAGTGTCTAGAAAACGCTAGCTCGAGGTGCCCTCTCTCACGAGGCCCGTGGAGGATGCACACCTTTGAAACGAGGGCAGAAGCCAGGGAGCAATATGTGGATACAGAAGGCTAGAGCGCCAGCCCTGGGGAGATGAGGAAGACCCGGGACAGCTGCCCCAGGAACAGCCAGAGCAGGTTGAGACTGGTCAGAAAGTTCTGGAACCTTGTAGAATGGAAGGTGTCCAGTGTCTTGAGAGATGGTGCAGACTAGAGCTTTCCTCGCCTGGGTGCTGGACTCACAGCTTGTCATGCCTACCAAACGGTCAGGGTGCTCCAACGTCGACCCCCAGTAGGGGTTTGCCAAGTTGGTCATGAGTACCCAGGAAATGGAGCCGCTGGAGAAACAGGACGGTCAGCAGCTGTAGGGGCAGCAGAAGGTGTCGGGAGGAGTAAGTCCCGGTCTCCTGTCTGGCCCGGCTCACATGGCTGCAGTCAGGACAGTGTGGGGACCTGACACAAGCGACTCAGGGCAAGGAGTCCAGGGAGAGGTCTGACGGCAGTAAGCACAGCCTCACTGTCCGACCTGGGAGCGCCAACACCGTCGTGGGTCCACCACGGGAGGACCTAGTACCGAAGTTACCAGCCAGTGGGTACAGCCAAAGCCCCGTAGTAGGCCATACACCCATCCCGCCACTGGACTCTCGTAGACTCTTTGCGACCTACCTGTGCAACAGAGTTGACATCAAACCGAAGCCTAGAATTTCAGGCTCGCGTGCAGGTCGAGCTTGTGAAGGCCGGTGCGTGTCAGTTTCACTGAGACCCCGGCGCTGGTCTGCAGAGACAGAGGCCACAACCCTGTTAGGGATGGGGCCTCCTTGGGGCACCGGGTGACGGACCACACAGCTGCCACAGTGGGGGAGGTGCAGGGCTCGTGGGCATGGCTGGGGCCGCTGCTTCCACGAGCTCGGTGAGAGCAGGAGCTCTGAGAACCTCTGCTGGGTTGCCCATGGCCTTGTGCCAGGCATTTGTGTCATGTTTGTGGCAGAGGCCACACGGCGAGTATGGTTGTAGGACCCAGCCCCAAGGGATCACGGTAGAACAGCCAGGCGCCTCGTGGTTAGCACTGGAGCGTACAGGCGGACGACTGGCCTCTGCTGACCGGCTGGCGAGCGCGCAGATGGCGCAGTGGGGTACTTGTTTCTGCCTGCGAGGCTCCGGGTGCTCAGCCAGCATGCCACCCCGAGGCTCCCAGGTCATCTGCAGGGCACGCAGCCCCAGCCATGTGGGGCCAGGCTGCTGGACGGTGACTTGTGACCTCCCGCCACTCACAGAAGCCTCAGCACTTGAAGTCCCTGGCCAGGGTGCCTGGTACCCCATAGATGCCCCTCGGAGAGTGGGGCTCCAGGGGCCTTCCAGCCACCAACAGATGTCCCCCATGCTGCTGCCCTCTACCCCGGATCTCACAGGCCACCTGCCCTGCCACACCTCCGAGCAGCAGGACCCCTCGCCCAGGCCTTCCGCTGTGCTGACCGGTGCTACTGGGAGCAGTCAGGCTTGCCCCAGTCTGGGCATCGGCGGAAGGCCAGAGATGAGGCAGGAAACCCCTACAGGGGCCCCTGCTCTCGGGCACCCCAGGGGTAGTACTGACCGACGGACCTTAAAGGAGCACGACTGGTTCCCTGACAGATGATGTAAAGTGTTAGACAGGCTCCCGTCTGCTCTGAGCTGGCCTTGTGGAGCAGCCTCCAAGTTCATTTTGGGTGCCCACGGCCCTCAGATGGTGCAGGTGCACATGGCAGGCAGCTGGACTAACGGCGGGAGGCTGGCCTCCTGAGGAGAGCAGCTTGGCTGATCAGGAGGAGAAGGACCCATCGGGCTACCTGGGCGGGGGGGGGGGGGAACAGGCACAGCCGCCCACCCTTGCTGACTGCGCTCTCAGAGTTCAGGGAGAGCTGCTCTGAGGTTCTTGTGGATCTTTGACAGAGGAATTGCTGAATGACCGCTAGCAAGGACCCAGTCCCCTGGGTCGACAGGAGCCAAAATGCTCAGCCTCCCCCAGCTGGCTCTTGGCTCCCCACAGGGCCCCCTGTAGTACCCGGGCTCAGCCAGGGAGATTATTAATTGCAGCTTAATTAGGTAATGCATTAATATTAAAATAACCGGGTTTTGACAGCAACACAGTGAAGGTGATGAGGTTTGTCACGGCCTGGCTGTGTGGGTGCAGCTGATCCCAGGGTGTCCCTGAGTGGGGTAGGGTGGTGGGCTCTGGAGCTCCACCCCGGGGAGGCAGACTGGGGCACAGAGAGCAGCTTGCTTCTCCCTCCGTCGTGCCATCCTCTCTGCGGGCTCTGCAGCGGCCTGCGTGGGTGGGACACCGGAGGGCCAGGGGGCATGAACCAAAGAGGTGCCATCTAGGTGCCTGGCATGGTGGGGTGGCTCCACAAGGCATAGGCCTTCTGAGTTTCTGCCACCCTGGTGCCCTCGGGTGAGGCAGCCACCCCCAGCTTCCACTGGGTCACATGGAGGGGAGGGAAGGGCGCCACCACGGAGGAGATGGGGTGGGCTCGCCGTGGCCCCTGAGGCACACACTCCCATTACCAGCATCACCGGCCGCCGGCTGCCTTCTGGGCCCACAGGTGGCAGCAGGGCCTGTCCCTGCCCTAAGGACAGAATGGGGGAAGAGCCAGGGGGGCCGGGGGCCTCGGAGCAGGCCCTGGGTGTAGAGGGCCAAAAGAGGGGCAGATTTTGGTGGCTGGGCAGCTTCCCAGGCCAGGGTGGGTGGCTTCAGCTGAGCTTAGTGGGCTGAGTAGGAGGGGAGAAGGGCTGCTGTTCCAGGCAGGGATCCCCTCAGCTGGTCCTCCGCCCCCACACATGTGCCCAGCCCTGTGTGGGGCCACAGTGAGAGCCGTCCCTGTGTGCTGCCAACAAGGAATGCTGCATCCACTGGGAGAAGGAAGACCGACGTGCCTAGGGAATCCAGGGAGCAATGCAGGGTCCCTGCAGTCACCCGCGCCCCTGC